TGCCACGGACTATAGTTTAAGTAGATAACGAAACGCAAATTTTATTGCAGTATTACGCATATTGAGCGTACGTATTGCGCATGTCAAGCTTTTTGCTTGTTTTTAATTTTCAAGAATTGCTCTTTCAGGAATTGTTTTATTTGTTTTTCGTTTAACAAAATACAATAAACGCATGTTAAAGTGATATTTCGCGCTCTTAAATTTGTTTCCCGACGCACTCTAAACTTTTGGCTTCAAAAAATATCTTTTTTCGATAAAAGTTAATTAAATGTATATTTAAATGCATATTGTTCTTGTCGTCCGCGCATGTAACAGAGCAAAGCAAAGCACATTAAGTGTTTTATAACAATCCACGTAATATTCAAAGATATTTGATGTCAGAACTTTAAGGCATTGGTAGTTGGGGAGACGGATAACATTGAACGGTTATTCAATGTCTTAAAAAACGTGCCCATTAACGCAACATTGAAACCTTCAAATCAGTTCATTGGACCAAGTTATTCGCTTATAAATTGGAAAGAACAACACACAACTGAGCATCAGTTTTCATTGAAATGGCTACCTCTCACGTGTCCAGACATTCAGAAGAACCATCTCCTTTTATTCCTTATCTTGCATGCCCTCTTCACCCCCCTCGCCCTCCAGATTGTAGTGATTGTAAAGAAATACAAAGACAACACATTCTAAACCTAAAAGAACACTCGTCAACCTCAGCTACAAGCTCGTCATGCTGCAACCAAACATCATTCAAGGCTGAGAGAGTTGAGGACATCCGACATCCCAAATAACACCTACGGCTGCCAGGAATTGATCATATACAGCAAGCTTAGAGACCACGAGCCTACATGCATCCACACTCCTTGCTCATGTCCAAATCGAGCTCCTGTGGCAGGCTGGCAGCATGTCGGATGATGCCGGAACTAGAAGAAATGTCTTCAAAGCACTAGAAAAGATGCACTGAATGTTATTGGTGTTATTTCAATGTGTATTTACGTTTACAAATACTAATGTATTAGATTGTAAATTTTTATTTTTATTAATATAGAAACCGACGCTCATTGTGTTCCAATATCACGCATTTTAAATTGTTATGTCGCGCATGTTAAATTCAAAGCATGTATGTGTCATTTTATATGCAAATTATTTCATAATCAAACAAACGCACTTTAAGTTTTCCAATCGCGCATACTAGACTAATTTTCAACGCAATGTCTGAATAATTACGTTTTTATACATAGACCAACGCACATTACGTTTACGTGTTACGCATATATAAGTCGCAGTGTAGTGCACCTTTAAAGTGTAAATCAACGGATATTAAGAATTAAATAGACGCATATTGCTTCCTTTTAGATTCGTGATTAGTAAGTCGGCAACATATATTTTGGTATATAAGGAATAAATGGATGAGCCCACTGATGAAATGGTAGAAGTCTTTGAATATATCGAATCTGCCCATGATCAAATCCCCCCCAAAAGATTTAAAATATTTTTGGTCGATAATCAACGCATCTAAAGACTTTGGTGTTTACCATGGACCAAAGATTTTATAAATAAACCAACGCACATTACGTCTACGCGTTACGCATATTAAAAACAAGCTCTCATGTCTGCCTCTGTTGTTGTTATTATTAATATATTATAATCAAAGTAACGGATGAGCCCACTGGCGAAATGGTAGAAGTCTTTGATTAAACTGATTTTGCCCAAGATCAAACCCCCATAAAGACTTGAACTTTTTATTATATTTTACTTGTTTTTGGTTTAATAAAATATAATAAACGCATATTAGATTGATATTTCGAGCACTTTAATTGGTTTCCCGACGCATATTAAACTTTTGGCTCTAAGTCAGTGAGTGTACAATCTCATGCACACTAAGAATGATAGATACGCATAATGAAGTGTTAACATGCGTAGGTTAATGAATGAATTGAAGCATTTTCATTTAAAAATCCTCCCACGCACATTCAAATATTGTTATACGCATTTTGAATTATATTTGATGCACATGTTAGGTTTTACGTATATTCACACGCATGTTAAGTGTAAATATAACGCATATTAGAATAATAAGGTCAGTTAGATATGCACCTGTTATTGGAAATAAGTGACAAGTCAATTTCGATGTCAGCAATTTTTATATTTCCCATATTGGGTCTAAGTCACTGAGTGTACAATCTCGTGCACACGAAGAATGAAAGACACGCATAATAACGTCTTTAAGGTGCGCATATTAGTGAATAAATTGACGCATATTCGTTTAAGAATACGCGATCGAACATTGTCATATTAACAGTCGCATTCTGGTAGACTAAAAGTTGTCACCTACGAACAGTCGCATTCGTTTAAGAATTTGGTATTTAAATCCACCATTATGCTCTACTCAAACCTGTCACCTTCAAACACATTTTTGCTTTTGTACTCTACCTTGTACAGAGTGTTTCAATGGCAGCCGAACTCCACTCCGAAATAGTTGGAAACCAATTTCGCATAACATTGCGCTGGAATACGTGAGGGTTCGAGTGCTTCGAGTCGTTAGATTGCCTGAAACAAAAGGTTCTAAAACAATCAGATCTATAGAGTGTGTACTTCACGATGTAGAGGTATTATTTTTTTTTTAGTGTAATATAAATCTTAATATTTTATATTTATAAAATTTACTTTTGATGCATTTTTTTTAAAATAATTTCAGGGGACTTTTATTCATATGCACATTCCACAGTTGTTTGTGCAAAGGTACCTCAACAGATTTGTGGAAGGAAAAGCTTATATAATAAATAGATTTGACGTGGCCCTTAATACCTACCGAAACAAGACATCTACTCTCTGGTATATGTTGGTGTTCTTTGAGAGAACTCGTGCAGTATTATCGAAAGAAGATGCTGAGTTCCCAACATATGCTTATGACCGAGAAGATTATGATTTCGATCAAGAGGTGTTTTACTGCATACTTACATTGTTTTTCCTTTTTTTTAATATATAATTTTATTGACGTATTTACAGTTTAATAACTTTCACGATTTGATGGATGAACAGGTGCCTGACGCTCCTGTTGGAAACTTGGCTAATGAGGATGTAATCAATGAGGAGGCTGCGTAATAAGGATGAATAATGACGAAAATATCAAGATTTTTATGCGTATTATGTGACTACTTGTTTTTATTTTCGTCATACAATTTATGAATTAATAAAATTTATATATTATCATTTTATGTCTATTATGTGATCTATTATGTTATCATTAACGCATATTCTTTCAAAGATATCAAAGATAAATTAAAAACGGAAAAAAAAATTATATTTTACTTGCTTTTTTTTTAATAAAATATAATAAACGCATCTTAGAATGATATTCCGCGCACTTTAATTGGTTTCCCGACGCACATTAAACTTTTGTATTTATTAATAAAATATAATAAACGCATCTTATAATGATATTTCGCGAACTTTAATTGGTTTCCCGACGCACATTAAACTTTTGGATTTATTAATAATATATAATAATCGCATATTAGACTGATATTTCGCGCACTTTAATTGGTTTCACGACGCACATTAAACTTTTGGCTTTAAAAAATCATTTATTTCGATGCAAATTAATTAAATTTATATTTACACGCATGTTGTTCTTGTAGCTCGCTCATGTAACATAGCAAAGCAAAGCACATTAAGTCTTTTATACCAATCCACATAATATTCAAAGATATTTGATGTCAGAACTTTAAGGCATTTGTAGTTGGTTGGGGAAACGGATAACATTGAATGGTCATTCAATGCCTTAAAAAACGCACCCATTAAAGGAAATCTTGAAAAATCTAATGTGTATGTAAATCATGCAACATTCAAATCTCAAATCAGTGCATGTGACCAAATTATTCACCTATATATAAATTAGAAGGAACAACACACAACTGAGCATCAGGTTATTGAAATGGCTATATCTCACTTTTCCGCACGTACAGAAGAATCCTCTTCATTTATTCCTCATCTTATCTGTCATTTTCATCTTCCTCGCCCTCCAGCTTGTAGTGATTGTAACTAACTACAAAAACAACACATTCTAAACCTGAAGCATCATTTGTCATTCTCAACTTCAAGCTCATCATCTAGTTTCCAAACAACATCCAAAGGCTGAGAGTTGAGCATTTGTGGGTGGCTGGTGATGTGTCGGATGCTGCCGGAACTAGAAGAGATGTCTTCAAAGTACTAGAAGAAATAAATATGTGCAATCATTTATGTATGTATCATTTTGTCTGCAAATTATTTCATAATCAAATAAACGCACTTTAAGTTTTCGAGTCGCGCATATTAGAATTATCTTTAACGCATCGTATATTAATTAATAATAAACGCATATTAGAGAAAGAAAGTTTTAAATATTGCCTTTGAACGCATATTTAGCTTTAATTTCGCGCAAGTTAAATGTTAATCGACGCATGTAAAGACGTTGGCGTTTACCACAGACCAAAGTTTCTATACATAATCCAACGCACGTTCTGTTTCTGTACTACGCATATTAAAGTTTAATGTAGCGCACGTTAAAAGTGTAATCAACGCATATTAAGAATTAACTGCACGCAGGTAAAGTAGTAATAACACGCACATTAAGCTAGTAGCAGTGATTGTTAAACACAAATCAGTGATAAAAACAAAAACTAGTAATGGCTGGACATTAAATTCAAGTATCTCAACTGTAAAAAGCATTCTGAAATGAGTTAACTAAGTATATGTGTTTCATATTTGCTATCCATTTTCGTCCTCGACTGTAAAGGCATTGAAAAAATAGTCTGCTATGCCTTTTTCTTACCCTTTTGCTTGTCCTTATTTTTGGGGTTAAGTGGGCAAGTCCGGGTGTCATGGTGATCTCCTCTAACACCACAAAAATTGCAGTTCCTGCCCTCTTGTTTTTCCATTGCCAACTCCTTGCTGCTTTTGATGCGCTTGCCGCTGCCCTTGTTCCTTGCCTGTTTCGGTGGAAGTATGTTGATCTCTGAAATTTATGTTGATCCACAATATGATTCTATAACAGTTCTCCTGCTGTGCTGAGGGGACAATTTCTCCTTTCCTGACAGTAGCAGCTGTTTCTGTTCATTAATCACTTGGGAAAATGCAGTCAATTGCTCTATGTTTGAACCTGCCAAATCCATACAGCAGTGTATATCAGACCACACTTTGTTCAACAGCATCTTCTTTTCATCCTTTGGTCCATTATGATCATAAATGACACCATCTATTTCAAATGTAGCTTTTAAAGATGCATCCTTAGTCCACCGATTAACCACGTACTCCAGAGGGATCCTTTCAAGGTCTCTAAAGACCACAAATATGTGTCTACACAACAGTCCAACCATCTCAAACATTTTGCAACTGCATTTGGCCTCATGGTCATTTACATTGTGCACCACAGTAAATCTTTTGTTCTTTCCATCCATAATATCATAGTGCAACATTCCACCGTCTTCTCTAACACTCAACACCATACATTTGAAACAGGAGGCACATATTTCTTCCTGAACTTGATAGAAAACAGTAATGGTGTAGACGATTGAAGCGTGCTTTTCAATCCCCAAAGGCGTCTTCATATCTGGATTGTAGCCTTCGTTGTCACTGTTGAGCTTTGCATTTGTGTTACGTTGTGATTTAAGAGCACTGTCAAAGTTCATCATGAATTCAACTAGGCTTGATTGGGGACCAGTAAAGCGGTTGTACGTGTAGTTCTCACTTTCGGAACGAGAAGTTATTCTGAGTAAACCCCCCATAAAGCTATCTCTAAAATACGCTGGGATCCAATGCTTTCTAGCCTCAAACATAGTTGTAAACCAATTGTGCTCGACTAAGTTGTACTTTTCCATGAGCTCTCTCCACTGCTTCTAAAAATCAGGAGGTTCCAAAGATGACGTTCAAACGATTGAGTTCAGTTTGTTCCTGAATTCCTCATCCTTGTTCAGCGTAGGACCCACCTTTTCCCCAACTTTACACATGATGTGCCACATGCAATAACGATGCCTGGCTTGCTTGAAAACTGTTGGAATCGCCACTTTCATAGCTGGATCTTGATCGGTGACAATTATTCTTGGTTCCATACCCATTGCCTTTTTAAATTTTTCAAAGAGCCAAACATAAGACTCAATGTCTTCTTTCAACAGTAGTCCAGCACCGAATGTTATACATTTTTTATGGTTATCAACTCCGGTGAAGGGTGTAAAAACCAGATCGTACCTACAAGACAAAAAGCGTCATCACAGTATGCAGGTGTCAAACTGCCGCACTTAGAGAATTATAGTAACGCACATTAAGTATTAAAATAGCACACGTATGTAATTGAGGTCTAATTCTAGAAATTCCGCATTAATATGCGAGACAGTAGCGTTTAAAATGCGTGGTATAAAATGACAATGTGCACTTATTTATATTTCAACTCTTTTTCAATAAAACAGTGAACGTGTCTAAATCGTAACATGGCTCAATAGATCAGGCAATGCTAAATGTGTATTAATTAATGAAACGTACGCAAGAATGTGAATAGAATAATATATACCTGTTTGTTGAGTACGTGGCATCAAAAGAGACAACATCTCCAAATGCAGCAAAATTCTTTTTTGACATTGGATCTGCCCAAAACAGTCTGCTCATCTTCATCAACTTCATAGTCAAAAGCAAATGCAGGGCACATCTCTTGTTTCTTAATAAGATTATGCACCAGTATTTGTGCATCATCTCCCAATATGTATGCTCTGAGATCCCTTCTGACATTTTTAAAGTCCACTACAGTTGCTCCAACTTCAGAGTAATTCCTCACAATCTGACTGTATAAACCGTGTGATTTTGATGCTCCAATATTTGCTTTAGCGCAATCGAGTATAAACTTCTGGTGAACACTGGAGATGTTTCTATTTCCCTTTAGAAACTGCCTTGCCAGAACCGAAGACATGCTGTGATTATGTTTTTCAATAAAAGTTGTAACTTGGTACCCAGCTGCTCCAATGTACTTAAACATAATCCTAGCTCTGCAACCAGTTCTGTTTGAAACCCTTCGCCGCTTTGGACGGGAAGGCCCTTCCCCTGCATCTGCACTTGACTGCGAGTGAAAATGTTGAGCTCCTGTATTCTTAAATCCTTCTCTGTTGCAAACGATTTGCTTTTGAATTTTTGTCTCGTCACGTGCTGTAACGACGGAACTAGACCTCGTGTCAAACCCAACTTTGGAAGCATAATGTTTGTAGAATTCAATACCAGCATCCAATGTTTTAAAAATCATGTCTACTGCTGGTTTGATTTCATCTTCACAGTGAGGAGTCCAATACTGTGTCATTCCAGGAGATATGGTCAATGTATGACCATTGCTGCTGCTGCTGAGACTCAAACTGGGGTTGTTGGTAGATTGAATGTCAATGGGAACTGTAACATATAAGCATGAAGTTATGATTGTGTTGTTGCAAGCCTCTACGTGCGTAATGTGAACACTTAATATGCGTTAAGTTAATCAGATCATTGTCAATATGGAAGATTTATAAAATACTAGAGTATGTGCGGCAAGTGAGAAATTAACGTGCTTCAGGGTAATAGTTAATGTGCGCATGTTGAACAGTTAACATGCGTGAGTGTTTGTTAAAATATTATGTCATTACTTAACGTGCGTCAGAGAGTCCAGTAATATAACATGCGTTTGGAAAGGAATTAATGTGCGTGTGATCAACGGATAACATGTGTGAGGCAAACAGTAATATGTGCATTTTTAAAAATTATCATGCGGCTACCTAATCATCTACGTGCGTAAGGCTCTAGGCTCGGATTAATTAAAGTAGCTCAGTAATTCGTTGGTTAAGTTGCATGCTTAATGTGCGTGTAATTAAGACAAGAATGATGCCAATACAAATGCAGATAAAATTAATTCCAGAAAAGCGATAGAATTTGGGTAATACCTCGATCGAATTCTTCCATTGTTCTTCGGTTGACGTTTTTGATGGGTTTAGGGTTTATTTTGACGAATATGATATTGAACGACGAAGAGAATAGATCTTATTGCCAATTCCGTAGAGATCGTAAATTCGTCTGAGATTAGGAAGAGATCGTAAATTCGTCTGAGATTAGGAAATATAGAAGATTAGGAATCAATGGTGAATTTTGAAAACGCTCGAAGAAGAAGAACAAATTTTTTATTTTTTTTTAATTAATCAAAAGGACAAAAATGCCCTTAATGAGCAATTCGCGCTTAATTTTTGCTATTAATCTGATTCATTCGATCAAGAGCTACATGGGGCTTAGATTTAACCTCATTATTCACGGGAAGGAGTAAATGCACGGGAGCCCTTCCCTATATATATATATATATATATATATATATATATATATATATATATATATATATATATATATATATATATATATATATATATATATAGGATGCGGATCAAATGTGCATGAGGTCTTTAGGTAAAAAATAGGGTTAAGTCTCAACCATAGATGTAGTCCAAATCAACAGTCCAGATTGAAGATAATTAAAAAAACGTGCGGTCACATTCTTGTAATTTTGAGCAAACAAGTCATCTTGTGTTTTGTTTCTGAGTGCACATTTATCCTTCTTCGAGTGCACATTTCTCCTTCTTCGAGTGCACATTTTCCCTTCTTCAAGTGCATACTTTTTCTTCTTCGAGTGCATCACTTTTATTTCAGTACTTAGTTTCTATTTTGAGTACACATCTTTGTGTCTTTGAGTGCAAATCTTTTGGCCTTCAAGTGCACGTTTTGTAGCCTTCAAGTGCATGTTTTCCTTTCTAAGAGTGCATAGTGTCTTTTTTTTTCTCCCTTGCTTTCTAGTGATCCTCTTTATGCTTTCAAGTGCTCAATTTAATGCCTAAAAGTGTATGTGTCTTACTATTGTGTAAAAAAAAATTAAAAAATAAAATAAAAAACTTAGCATTCAAGTGAACCCTTTTTTCCTTTGGTGCAGATTTTTTGCCTTCAAGTGAACAATTTTATGCCTCCAAAGTGCATGTTTCTTTGCCTTCAAGTGCACAATTTCTGGGCAGTATTTGTTATATCTTGTGCATTCTTTTCAATAACATATTACTAAATTTCTAATGAAATTTGTGAGATTTACAAACGATTTGTATGGTAATTGGTTTAATAACACTTAAGTTAAATAACCTCCCTTTTTGGCACCATAAATTGCATCAAGTGCACATTTATTTGCCTTCAAGTGCGACTTTTTTGCCTTCAAGTGCAACTTTTTTGCCTTCAAGTGCACATTTTTTACATTCAAGTGCACCAACCACATTTTCGCACGGAAAGTGACATGTGCACCTGATCCTAACCCCCTATATATATATATATATATATATATATATATATATATATATATATATATATATATATATTGGATCCAGTGAGACCACCCCAATTAGGTGAGATCATGAGACTGGATCCTTTGCATCTATTTGTTTTGTTCAACAGTTGAGGGCTTTGTTGTAAATTCACATAATATTTAATTCATTTCCTATTTTAAATAAAGTAATTTTATATGTAGTAATATTGGAGAATCTCAAGCCATTCATCTTCACCGCTTGTGCTGGTCGGCCATTGCCGCGATTCGGCTTCACCTATCGTTCTGGTCGCCCACCGCCATCGCCGACGTCACTTGTCCGTTCGTCGGCTCAGCGGTTTGCATTTTGCCTCGTCTCGGTGTGCCCATGGTTGGGTCTTCCACTCGTAGGTCAAAACGTCAAAAGGAGTGATGTGTTAAGAATATATGTGGTTGATGTTTTCTGTTTATACTTATTCAAATTATATTCCTTTAGAATAGGTATATTAGAGTTGTGGTTACAACTTCTTAGCTACTTGTTCTCCTATATATACTATTTATACATGTTAGCTTCTTCATCAATATACAACATTTCATTTCCTTACATGGTATCAAGAGCCCGAACCTCCTACAAAAGTTTTTTTTTTCCTCTTTCTTTCACCCTTTATCAAATGGCTACCACTACTGATATCATTTCCCTTTCTGCCACGTCTAATTTTCCCATTACACTTACCTCCACAAATTTCCCAGCCTGGAGGCGCCAGGTTCACTCTACACTCGTTGGCTTCAACCTCCACGGCTATGTTGATGGTTCTGTCCAAGAACCACCCAAGTTTGCTGGTTCGGCTCAAACAGCCACAAACCCAGATTATTTACTTTCGGTTCGTCAAGACCAAATCATCGTCAGTGCACTCTTAGGGAGTTGTTCTGACTCGATTCAACCCCTCGTGTCTTCGGCCTCAACAGCCTATGATGCTTGGCAATGCCTAGCCACTACTTACGCTAGTGCGTCTCGAGGTCGTATACTTTCCCTCAAAGCCAAGCTCACTCAAAATCCGAGAGGTGCTCGGTCGATTACTGTATTTTTGAATGACATGTGATCCATCGCTGATGGACTCGCGTTGGCGCAGTTCCCGGTATCTGATGAAGACCTTGTCATGTACATTCTAACGCAGCTCGGGGATGAATATAATTCAATCATCTCCGTTATTCGCGTTCGACAGAAACCTATTTCCTTAGTGGAACTAGCCGATGTTCTTATTGATCATGAACGTCAGTTACAAGCCGATAACCGAGCACGCCAAACCGTGTTGGCTACTGCCAATGTCACTCACCGGAATACTCAACGGTCTACTTCCGGCCGAAGGTTTCATCAAACCAAATATCACAATGGTGCTAATGTCATATGCGAGTTCTGCAAATCTACCGGCCTTGTACCACGAGTCTGCCGCAAATTAGCCCGGTTTTTGGAGGAAAATAATGTTCTTCCCGTGCAGGTGACACCGCTCCTTTCATCTCCTATGGCAAACTCTACGGTGGACTCGTCTTCGGGGTGGCTTTTCGACAGTGGAGCATCCCATCATGTCACTCCTACTACTGCTCCTTTGCGGTCATTCTCCAAGTACAATGGTCCGAACCAAATACGCTTGGGTGACGGTAAATCTTTACACATATCTCACATTGGTCACGCCACAATTCCCTCATCTTCTTCTGCCCTTACTCTAGAAAATGTCTTGCACGTTCCACAGCTACACAAAAGTTTAGTTTCTGTTTCACAACTCTGCAAAGCTAACCGTGTGTCTGTGGAGTTCTTTGCGTCTCATTTTGTCGTGAAGGATCTTCAAACTGGGATGGCATTGTTACGGGGGCCGAACGTTAATGGTGTGTACTACAATACTCTCTCTTATGAGCCTCAAATGAATGCCACGCACCTGACATCTGTGTCTGAATGGCACCACCGGTTGGGACATCCTTCAAATAAGGTGTTACAACTCGTGTAGCAACACTGCAAAATTCCAGTTTCTGCTGCCTCTCTACGTCAGTTTCGCTGTTGGTCTTGCAGTGTACACAAGAGTCACAAATTGCCATTCTCCAAGAGCACTCTCGTTAGCACAAAACCCTTACAGTTACTTTACACTGATGTATGGGGAACGACAGACAAGTCTGTTGATGGTTTTCTTTATTACGTTGTCTTTGTTGATCACTTTTCTAAATATGTCTGGTTGTATCCCTTAAAGCACAAGTCAGATGTTTTTACCATTTTTCCTCAGTTCAAAAGGTTAGTCGAGAAGTTTTTTGGGCTGCCAATTGTCTCAATTTACTCAGACAATGGGGGTGAGTTCATCAAACTAGTTGCTTTATTTAATACCCATGGTATTTCGCACTTCACCACCCCACCTCACACTCCCGAGCACAATGGGGTGGCTGAACGGCGACACCGGCATATCGTCGAAACATGTATGTCACTCCTTCATTCTGCTTCTTTGTCAACCTCGTATTGGTCATATGCCTTTCTCACAGCCGTGTATCTCATAAACCGATTACCAACATCGGTGTTAGGTAATCAATCCCCCTTTCAGGTTCTGTTTAATCAATCCCCTACTTACACTAAACTACAACCGTTTGGCTGCTTATGTTTTCCGTGGTTGAGACCTTATAACACCAAGAAATTAGAGCCGAAGTCTCGGCCTTGTGTCTTCCTTGGATACTCCAATGCACAATCGGGTTTTAAATGTTTGGACCCCACATCTGGCCGTATTTTTATATCTAGGCATGTTCGTTTTGTGCCTCATGTGTTTCCTTATAAGGATTTGCAGCCGGCGTCTGTCACACCTTTGTCTGATGCACAGGGTTCAGAGATGAGCAATATTTTGTTCAAGTCGTCTCATGTGTCCACCCAGCCTGGAGTTGTTCCTACACCCACTCCGAATCCTACTCCACCTTCCGTGTCTTCCCCGGCTGGATCTCTCTCTGACGTAGCCGACTACCCGCAACCTGCACTAGTGGATGTTCAAACTCATGTTCCAACACAATCTGGCGAGAATAGTTTGGACATCCCCACTGGTTCACCTTCAGCTGCGTCTAGTTCGTCACCCCCTGGTTGTTCGTTTTCCGCTGTCCAGAACATAGTCGTCATACCAACCAGTCTGAGTCCTTGCCCGTCACCACCTCCGAAGGTTCTCAAACGCAAAATAATTTGCGCTGGTATACCCGAGAGCTTCGTCCCAATCCCAGGTATTCTGAATATGTCGTTAACCATGTCACCTCACATCCCTTGCTTCCCACATTAGAACCCTCTACCATCGCCCAGGCTCTTAAGGACGCTAGGTGGAGGAAAGCAATGGATGAGGAGTACGCCGCTCTTCTTCGCAATGAAACGTGGTGTCTTGTTCCCTGTGGTTCCGGGGTTCCCATCAGCTGCAAATGGGTTTACCGTGTCAAGCGTAAACCAGATGGCTCTATGGATCGGTACAAGGCACGGCTTGTCGCTAAAGGGTTCTTACAGACTGCTGGTCGAGATTACTTTGAGACTTATAGCCCGGTCATGAAACTAGTCACTATACGTCTTGTTCTGAGTATTGCCATGAGTAACCGTTGGGGTCTGCGTCAACTTGACATCAACAATGCGTTCCTTCATGGC